TTAGGCATATTTCAAACTCGTCATATTTTTTCCAAAACATCAAAATCGAAAATTTATAGTATAGGTACTGCAGTTTATACTATAAGAATTAAGATTCCATACATATTTGTCATCAGATTTGATAAATTTTATTCATATATGGAAAATGGCAAAAAAACGGCCATAACCTCGAAACCTTCATTTCATTAACAGATTTGAACAATCTTACTTCATTTGTGAATATATTATTGTGAAAATATTATTGTTCTATCAGAAAGCTGAACTCTTCCCCTTTAAAATGCGTTTTTATTTGTCCCTGTAGGTCACTGGAAACAAAAGTTATTGAATATTTACCGCGTACTTGATAAAAATTTTTTCAAATATTTCATTTCTCGCGCGCAACTGACACTCAAAATAACTCATTACTTGAGTCGTTTTTTCTGAGAGAATGGTTCAATTTACAAAGAAAGTGGTAAGGAACTTTTTTGTTCAAAATCGTGTCAGCTACATTTTTTGTTTGAAACTTTTTTTTTCCATGCACAGATTTCTGGGAAATCGATGTTTTCCGTTTTTTACCCCCTTTAGGGGGCAATTTCTGAAGAAGCTCGGGGGTACGAGTGGCAAACTTTTTTGCATCTTTTTTGGGGACTACTAATGTACATTCACACAAAATTTCAACCAGGTCGGATCATTTTTAGATGTCAGATCTCTGACGACTGGACTATATATGAACAAGATGAAAAATATTATATGTAATACAATAAAACGTTGCCATAATTTACCAACAACACTTATGAAACGTTTCATTTTGCTTAGAATGCGCATTTAAAATAAGCATAAAAAAAGGATCAAATAAGACATATAATAGTAAAACCATGACGATGCATTCCATTATCAAATAATTTTTATTGTTTTCTTACATATTGATATGTTTTGTATATTTTTCATTCATGTTTCTCATGTTTCTAATCTAATATATAAATAAAATATTAAAAACACATGATCTCTTCCCTTATTTCATTGTATCCTTTTTAAACTGTGTGTATTCCCGCTTGTATGGTGATTGATTCCGCCATTTTCAAACACCCTGTATATTGAAAAGTATCGTTATTGACGAAGAACAATGATTTTTTACGGAAGCATCGTAACTGTACGAATCGAGAGTACGTTTGATTTGGAACCAACTGTTTTGATCCAACAGAATGTAAACATTGCACACATACCTTGTTACATTTCATAATGCTTGAAATTAAGTACCCTGCTAAATTATACAGAATGTTGAGTTCATAATTATCAATATGAATGTTTTCTTTCGGATTCATAGCGGTGACAGTGCATTGATTTATTGTTTTACATTCTTTCTTTTTAGGCCTATTTATAAAATCAATAATATGTCCAGCATCATTCTCGTAATTCCACATATATGATGATTTTAAATACTGCGATAATACCAAGAGTTTCAAGCATTGCTGAAATTGCAACGCAGTAGGTATAGGATGTTTCACACGTATTGAAGAAAATAAATTCTCAATACAATCCCGTGTCAAACGACCAGTTAACACATATTGATAATTTCATTCATTAATCAGATAATTAGTCAATTCAATAATAGAAGTAGTGGTAATTATAATACCATTTTGCACTGGTTCAAATATTTGCTTGTAGCCAATTTTAATTTTGCAAAAGAGTTCTACGACAGCCTGAAGAAATGCAATATGTTCATCGTATTTTGTTTCATTTCGCGATGTTTTACCTAATGCAACACGTGGCGTTCGTGAAGTTACTAAAGTAAACCACTTAGAAATTATTTCTATAAATGTTGCCGTGGTATTCAATTCCGTTTTACCTGTGTTTTCTGCATAAAACTTAATGGCACTACTAACGTCTCGACTTAATACATTCTTGGCTTTATTGACTTTCATTTTATTGAATGTAGTACATATTATATCTTGCTTTCTTAGCTTAGGTATTAATTTCAATTGCAAATCGTATATCTACTAATTCTTGTAAATGTTCATATTTGACAATAGAACTTGATAACTTGGGCGTTTGCGTGAATGTCATAGGCAACTCAATCACTTTGTTATTTACTAACATATTTCTCATACTTTTTAATATGGAGCATCTGTAATGAATAGAAGTTTTCTTTTATTATTTACAGGATGCGCGATTGAATTTCTAATTTTTGTGTTTTCCACCAACGATGCCACCAAACACTTTCCACGTTTGTAAGTTCATAGGACCCATATCAGATATTACGCTATGAACGTATAATCCAATAGCTTCAGCCTTCTGAATAATCTCTTCAATGATTTGTTTTAAAATAGTACCATCTACATTATCTGATGTGAAATAATATGCTACGGGCACTTTTCATCGAGTAAAAATGCCTCCTAGCAAAAAAACCAGAACGTAGCTTCTTTTATATAACCTATATGGAAAGAGTAACACATTATTATCTACACAGAAAAGTAACTAAAAAGTAAAAAATCCAGTAAGCAAATTGATTGCAGACTGCATGCGAATTTGATCAAGACAGCAAATTTGATTCAATTAAATCAAAATCCCACACCACAAAAAATCAGGCATCCATATTCTTATTTCTCTTTTATTGATAAAGTACCTTAAATGTGACTTCCCAGTCCATCTAAAAGTCTTGAGCCATTTTATCATTGTGATTATCCAATTTCGGAACTTACATTCGGAGCTTAATTCAAGATTTTAATAAATACATTGAAATTACAACTGTTAGTTGTAATTTCCTCAACAAAGTTATATTGTTGAGTAGAAAACAGAACTAACAGATGTTACATGTTACATTGTGTTCGGTAGAATCATTGTGAATATTCAATTTTTTTACCTTTGTCATCGGGAAGAGTTAAAAGGCCAACATGTGACATCGTGCCATGATCTATTTGTTCTCCTGGTGTAATGCTCATTTCATCTAGAGCTAACATACAATCCTTTTCTCGATCATCCATAAATTGAGATACTTGTTGTTGTAATGTTTCAAATACTTACTCACAAATACCAGGTTGAAACTCAAGACCCTCACATCTTTGTCTCAGTGTACGTTCTACAGGTAGTGGCATACCTATTTAACAATTCTTGAAAGCCACTTCTACCGCATGACAATTTTAATCGGAGGGCTTTTCTTACGGTATCATCAGACCATTTATAACCACGTAGTGATGCTCTATACAAAGCTGTTATTTGATCCTTATTGAATAATCTATTCATATGCTTGCTTACTTTTAGTACATAATTTTTTAATTTTTTATTTTGATATGTTAATCTTTTAACATGTTTTGATAACATTCGCTTTGATTTTTCCAGCTTTTCAATTATTATATTCGTATGCTTCAATTTCAATTGCATTTTATTAGGATCTAATAACATTCCTGTTGTATCCAAATTGCTTTCTGCTAGCATTGTCTTCAGATCATCTGTTTTAGATGCTTCAGATACTACAACTTGTGGCATATATGCTCCGATTTCCATTTCTTTATTTGTACATTCCTCCATTAACGGAGTATTATAGCGTTTTCGGCCCGGCCAGCTTTGCACCAACCTAGGTTGGATTAATCTTTCCTATTGGTTGACGTCACACGCTCTACCAATAGGAGAGCGCAAAACGCCATTAATCTGACCCAGGTTGGTGCAAACCCGATCGGGCCGAAAACGCTATTAGAAACATCTTTGTTTTCTTCTATTTCAGGACAGTCTTTAGTCTAAAATGGATACCCACATTCCAAACATTATTTATGAATCTAATGAATGTATACATGCAAATACATTTTAATTTTATATTACTCTTACATTCATAAAAGCAGAACAATCTTTATTACTTGATACCAATTCTTTTTTCTTTGGAAAAATCGTGGGAATAGCAGTATTTTTCGATTTCTGTTTGCCATCTACTCGTGGTTTTTCCCACATATTAGCTGGGAAATGTACCTGTTCCATGTTATAATAGAACTATTAATATATTAATACAATATTATATGACTAAAAAAATAAACACATATAATACTTACGTTACATACAAAATAATTCTTTGCAGGATCAAAATCATATCCTCCTATATTTCTGATCCATTGCTGTCGTCTTTCACAATTTTTTGGAAGAACATGCATTGTGTAGCCTATCTTCCATGAATTACAACATTTTATGACGCAACAGTATGGCGTTGTGTATCCTGTAAATACAGAGAATTATTGTCATAGTACATATTTTTATACTCATAAATATCTACTATTCATATTGTTATTTGATTTTCTATATTTATAACACATTAATTTTTTGTTAAAACGTGAATACATTTTATGCTCATTTTTCTTACAAAATATCGAAATTATATGTATTTCTTACGTATAATTTCGGTATTTTATATTTATTATAATACTATAGTATTTTGCTTTATTTACTTATTTATGTTCCTTATAATCTCTGTGCAAGGACTTGTTCTATCTCTCATTTATGTTGCACTAGTGCAAATACGTAGCAGAAACGCGCAGATGTGTCCGCCATTTTTAGGGGTCGATTTCCAGACTCTGTATTCTAGGGATACTAAGTTATCTGGGTAAAATTGGAATAGTATGTTATGTAAGGCAGTGTTCTATTTTTTGCTTTGTATATTTCTATCAGATTTATAAATCTACATATATGCATACACAAGATCCTTACTACGTTTCAAAATGACATGATAATGAAAGTATTTGAGAAAGAAAATTTACATCGATTCCGATATAGTGAGTTCAAAATGAAATTTCCAGAGTGTCCATTGACGCGCGGTAGTTTACCCAACTTGCATTCAGACTCAGTCGGCGGTGAAAATAGCGGAGACTCTACTGAATCGTTAATCGATGAGGCTGAGGATTATCTGCGGCGAAGCATTGATTCTATGCTAACAATATCAAGCATCAGCACGGATTATTGGAACAAACAGACATCAAGACGAAGAAGAACGCGAAGGCATTCGGAGCCGAACTTGATACGCGATTGGCATCTTCCTCAGAATGCCAAACCATATTTGCCAAAGGTATTGTTATATTTGTAATTCGTTTTATGTTTTAATCATTTAATTCTAAATATTTTAAATATATAAATATATAAAAAAATATATAAATATGTAAACATATAAAAAAATATATAAATATATAAAAAAAATATATTTAATTTGTAAAATGATTTGTTGGATTTGTTATATCATGATTTAATTAAGGAAGAGTAATGTTTCCTTGTTTTATAAGTTAAAAATTTGTATTGTCGGTTTTTATTGTTGGTTACTTATTGTTATTTTGTTTAATATTCGTACATATAAACACTGCGAATACGAAACATCCTCTTACGCTTTCAATACGAGTATATAATCACATCGCGCTATAACGAATCATCGTTATGATGAGTTCAATGTAAGTTTTTCAACTGATTTAATTAATTTCAACTCATCGACCATGGAAATCATTTCAAAAATTTCAAATATTAACTCGATATTTTAATTAAATTACGGAATTCTGGTTTGAGTATCCAGCTAAATACGACAGATGATAATTGCAGTTTTCAATTTTAGACAACAGCTTAATGATGATTTAATAACTGTACACTTTATTCGCCTATCTTTTTACAACGTAATTTAATTCCGATATTTGTTACTTATGCATTGAGGATGACCAAATCTTATGATCGAAAAGTTTGTATTAAGTGTACAACTTTGCTTCCGCCATTTTTTTCCGAAATTCGAGGCTTTATTGTAAAAAACTGGTTTTATACATTTATGATTCAAAGTATTGTCCATCGCTGGTCACTACTTTCTCCCATCTTTCGGGCAACGTACGAAACCCGCGTCGAAAAGACTGGTCAGCCTTTTGAGGCGATCCACGAATCGATCCAATTTTTTACTTCTTTATAAGACCGGAAGTGCTGGTCAGCCAGGCCGTGTGCCATTGATCGAAACAAGTGATAGTCAGAGGGAGCAACGTCTGGAGAATACGGCAGGTGGGGTAGGACTTCCCATTTCAACGTTTCCAAGTATGTCTTGACCACTTTCGCAACATTGTCGAGCATTGTCATGTTGCAAAATCACTTTATCGTGTCTCTCGTTGTATTGCGGCCGTTTGTCTTTCAATGCTCGGTTCAAACGCATCAATTGCGTTCGATACCGATCGTCTGTGATTGTTTCAGTCAGTTTTAACAGCTCATAATACACTACGCCGAGCTGGTCCCACCAAATACAGAGCATGACCTTGGAGCCGTGAATATTCGGTTTGACCGTCGATGTAGAAGCATGGCCGAGAACTTCCCATGATTTTCTGCGCTTGGGGTTATCGTAATGAACCCATTTATCGTCCCCAGTCACAATGCGATGCAGAAATCCGTTCCATCTTTGCCTTTCAAGCAGCTGTTCACAAGCAAACAAACGCCGTTCAACATCTCTCGGCTTCAACTCGTACGGCACCCAATTTCCTTGCTTCTGAATCATTCCCATGGGTTTGAGGCGTTTTGAAATGGCTTGTTGAGCTCCCAATGATCGTGCTAATTCTTCTTGATTTTGACACGAGTCTTGATCAAGTAATGCCTCCAATTCTGCATCTTCGAAAATCTTCTCTCTTCCACCGTTATGCCTGTCTTCGATGTCAAAATCACCGTTCTTGAAGCGTTGAAACCACTCACGACACGTTCTTTCACTAGTAGGGGCCTCACCATAAGTATCTGAGAGCATTTGATGAGCCTCGGCCGCAGATTTCTTCATATTGAAGCAGAAAGTTAAAATCTCCCGCAAATGACGAGAATTTGGCTCGTAAACTGACATTTTCAATCGAGAATAACTTTATGATGTAGACACAAATCGACTAATGTTTCTATGGGGTTATGTTGACAGATGCCCAAGTTTATTGTATGATGTCTATGATCTATTTATTTCGATCACCACTTACCGCTAAAACCATCTATAGGAAAACGGCGGAAGCAAAGTTGTACACCTAATAATTGATGATGAACATATATATTATATTTAGATTACACACGTTCAACTGTATCGGCTTTCATTGGCATTATTTATCCTTTGTTGATTTGTAGTCTTATTCAATTTTAATTGTTATTTAAATAGATGATTACTCGAATTTTTATGTGCACCTTCCAGATACCAAGAGATCTCAAACTGGATCATCTTGTGAAGGTTATATCACCGGAAGGTAGGGTCCTCCAAGGTCGCGTGAGATATGTAGGTCCCGTTCCTGGCCGAGAAGACACGCATGTGGGAGTAGAATTGCCATATGTCAATGGTTCATCTGATGGTACTTTTCATGGCAGAAGATTTTTCGATTGGTAAGCTTATGAAATAATTTTTAAAATGCAAAATATTTTGCAGACATGTATTACGAATAAATATTTCGAGAAGAACACTTCTTTTATTTGAAACTACATATATAATAGGGAGAAAGTAGAATTTTTTAATACAAAAATATTATTAAATTAAATTAACCTTTTTTTCTATTTGTTTCTCTAAATTTTTACACAATTTCAAGTAAAAGGGTATTTCATAATATCCTTTTTGTCTTTAATATTTCTGGATATATGCAGGGAATGGAAATAACTCATCACTTGTAACGAAGTTACAGTTACAAATTACTTTTTTGGTAACTTTATTGGTAACTGCGTTACTTTTTTTTCTGGTAACTGTAATGGTAACGAAGTTATATTTTTTTTGGTAACGGTAACGAATTTTACAGTTACTTTTATCGTTACTTTGCACAATTGGACACGGTACAAGTCACTCATACTTGAGACCAGAAAGTCCTAGAATCCCTAGAAAAACAGGAGCCATGCCCTCAAAATGTGAGATAAAAGTGGTGAGGATATGTTCTTAGTGCTTACACTTTTATACACTGTCGCACTTAGGAATTAGTTCTGTGACGAAAGTAAAGGCCGCGACACAGACTTTTGCATAAAGCATAATGCATGGTGCATAAATGAATCAACTAATCAGAATCTTTCTTTTCCTCCCATTCCATGGAAAAGAAGAATTTCGATTGGTTGATTCTCTTACGCACTATGCGTTATGCGTTAGTCCGGATCTACAATAGGGTTTTAAGCCTTAAACCATAAGAAATGGGCGAATCACAGTCGCTTATTCTTCTCGGATTCGACTGTAATTGGTCAATTTCTTACGGCTTAAGGCTTAAAACACCTATTGTAGATCCGGGGTTACGCAAAAGCTTGTGTCTGGGCTCTAATAGGCCTTCTACAATAAGTCGTAAGTCAGAACGTCAGAAGTCTTAATCAGTCTTAACAAACTTGGCTTCAAGTTGGCTATTGGCCAACTTCACCGATTATGACTTAAGATCGCTTAGAACTTCTGACTTGCGGCTTATTATAGAAGGGCTGTAAGGGCCATTCCACACAAACTTGCATAGCCGCATAAACATATGCATAAAGAAAATCGCCCAATCGTAGTTTACGTTTGTCTTTATGACTGAAATGTGATTGGATAATTTTCTTTATGCATATGGTTATGCGGCTCTGCAAGTTTGTGTGGAATGGCCCTAAGGGCTCTCACACATGAAATGCATAACAGAGCATATGCATAACATAAGGCCGCTAAACCAATGAGCATCTTATGTAAATCAATATGGCGACATTATGCTAGATGCTCATTGGTCCAGCAGTCTTATGTTATGCTTATGCTCTGTTATGCATTTCATGTGTAAGAGCCCTAAGAGTTTATTCACACAACTTGGGCCGCGGTCCGATACACGCTCACAACGCTTAAAAATCATTTCATCTTTGTTGTTTGTCAAATGTTAAACGAAGACAAACAATGCTCATGAGCGTTGTCAGCATGATTCGGACCACGGCCTTGCATAGCCGCATAAACATACGCATAACGAAAATTATCCAATCACATTTTACGTGCGTCTTTATAAGAGAAATGCGATTGGATAATTTTCTTTATGCATACGTTTATTTGCACCTATGCAAGTTTATGTGGATATATCCTTAGGCCTATAACACAAACTTTTGCATAACGCATAGTGCATAAGCGAATCAACTAATCAGAAGCTTTCCTTTCCTCTCATTCCATGGAAAAAAAGAATTTCGATTGGTTGATTCCCTTATGCACTATGCATTATGCGTTATGCAAGAGTCTGTGCTACGGCTATAAAACAGGACGGACATGTTTGTCTTGTCTCGGCTTAAATGTTGCGTTATCCCTAATTTTTGTTAAGCCTGCAGGGCTTTTTTGTTTTGATTTCACATTTCGTTTTTATTACCATACCAATTTTATTTATACCAATCTGAGTATCAATCATTTTTCCTAGGATGAAAAGAAACTTTTTTCTTAGGATGAAAAGTGAAAAGTGAAAAATGTTTCCATTAAGGCTCCTGACTACTCAGCCAAGAACTCTGCGTTGACGGTGGCGACACAGTATCAGACGGCGGTCTGGCAAAATCGGTAGCCACACACTTAATGTCGCCTGCGAGCACACGGACATGGGCTCGTGCTTATATGTGTGTTACAGCGCCACACCACGATAAATGGCCGAACTTATAGGAGTAGAAAAGTGACATTTTGACCAGTTTTGACGACGAAATTTGTGCACGGTGCCATTTCGTTATTATTTGCTGAATTGTGAAAATGTGACTTGTCTCGTACTTATCAAAGTCTTAATTTTCGATAAAAACTAAAGTTAT